GGGTCTCGAACCCGCGGGCTCAGGCAATCCACTCAACTCAGCCTCCCAAAGGCATGGGATTACAGGCTGAGTCACCCAGCCCGGCTAATTATTTGTATATCTGCATGTTGATCTAATCAATTTTCCTTTAACCTCTTTTAAAGAATGAGTACCTTTTTGAAGTGTGCAACATTATAGGACTTGACATTATTTTACCTTTACACACATACACACACACACACACACACACACACACACACACACACACACGGTATAAACCTTTGTTCTATAAATGGCAATGCCCAGTGATAAAGCACATACTTTGCTCACCTCATTAAAATGATAATCATAAAAGAAAGGCATGTTGTTCTCCAGTTTCCCCTGTATGGCATCATCAACCTCACTTTGCCATTTTTGTTCCAGTTCTGCAACACTCTAATGGATACAATAAAATAAAACAATGTGTAAATAGATGCAAAATAAAAATAAATAGAATCTGTTAGTTTAGAAACTTTGGTTGTGGCATTAATTTTTTTTTTTTTTTTTTTTTTTGAGTTGGAGTTTCACTCTGTCGCCCAGACTGGAGTGCAGTGGCCGCTCCCGGCCACCGCAGCCTCGACCTGCTGGGCTCCGGCGATCCTTCCACCTCAGCCTTCTGAGTAGCCGGAATTACAGGCACGCGCTACCATGCCCAGCTGATTTTTTTTTATTTATTGTAGAGATGAGGTCTCCCTGCCCAGGCAGGTCTCGAACCCGCGGGCTCCGGCAATCCACTCACCTCAGCCTCCCAAAGGCGCGGGATTACAGGCTGAGCCACCGAGCCCGGCTAGTGGCATTAATTTTTAAAAACTAGATCACATTTTAAAAATTTATTTATTTTAATTTTACTGAAAAATTTTAATTTTTGCTACATTGATTACAAATGTATTATTACATTAACATTATGCAAAATTCTGATTATAAATTTGATAAACATATTCTAAAACATAATATTCAAAAAGAGTACATGCAAATGAACAAGACAAAAATATGGACACTTTGGACAAAGTTCATGAACAGGCTATTACAGAATTAAAAAATCCCAAACACTATAATCTTATAAACAGCAGTTCAAACTCATAAGTTATCAAATAGATGCAACTAAAACACAATGCAATATAGGTTCCCATCTATTACACTGACGAGAATTACAAAGTTTGATCATGCTCGGTGTTGGTGTGGCTGTATATGTATTGGAACCATCATGCATTGTTGATGGGATGGAGACTATTATGACCACTGTGAAGAGTAATAGGCAGTACTCAGTCAAATAGAAAACATGTAATCCTATGGCCCATCAAGTCCTCTCTCTTTCATTTTACTACAGAAATATTCAAACGGGTCCATCAGGGATAATATAATCACTTTGCAGCACTGTTCGTGAAGCCAAGGAGTTGGAAGCAAGATAAATGTTCCTCACTAAGGAAACAGATAGGTGGATGTATGCCATGGAATAAATTCTGCATACCAGTTAAAAGCAACAACTAAAAATATACACAGCAGAAAAGAAGAATCTTATATTAGTGAGCTAAAAAGAAACAAGATGAGATATAGCTTAATGCCACGTAAGTAACTTAAAAAATACATGTAGGCCAAACAACAATACATATGTTACCAGAACACATACAAATGAATATACTATATACTGAACACATTAAAATTATTGTCTATAGGTACATTTCTATAGCTGTGTATAACTATCTGTATAGCTATATTCTCACTTTGATTTAGATCACATTTTAAACTTCCAGAAATTGTTGTAACAGTTATAAGACAAATATAAATGTCTTTGCTTTTGCTTACCTGCAGCTGTCTCTCCATGGCATTGAGTTTCTTAAAGGTCTCTCCCACAATTTTACACAATAAATCATATTCCTCAGCATGTTCTTCTTGATATTGGAAATTTATTAGGGACTGCAGTGCATCAACCAAGTTCAAGTGCTTAATAACACAAGATACCACCATTTCCTCCATCACGTCTGGCTGAATCACTTCTCTGTGATTATAATAAAAAGTAGTTAGGTATGTAGCATGCTCTCAACTTCCCAACACTGTATTTTTATAGGTGAGAGACCACAGGCTTTGATCTAAATATATTAAACATTCACCACACCTCCTTCATTACAATAGAGGAAGAAGCATGAGAACTATAATGACATTGTAGGAGTCTTATGTTGGCAAATAATTTAGTACGTTAAGTGATAAAACTGACATTGGCTGATGAAGCTGAAAATTAAAGATACTTCATTTTCTATGATTGCTATATTTTGAGTTAGAGTCATATTAGAGCTAGGATAGGGCTAAGGCTGAAAAAATATCTTCAGCACCATTTATCCACTAATTAAAATTACGTAGTATTATGGCTTGTAGTATTCAATACTTATGGATGATGGGCTAAAAAAATTCATTTTTCTGTATTTCTTTTTGCCCTGCCGCTCCTGCCTCAGTTTTTGTGTACTTTTTCATTTTAAATTTCATCTATTCTCAGAGCAGAGACCTGCAAGTCAGACTTCAATTAATTAATTAATCAATTAGAGTAGGGGTCTTACTCTGTTGCACAGGCTGGAGTGCAGTGGCACAATCATGGCTCACTGCAGCCTCTACCTTTGTTCAGGGCTCAGGTGATCCGCCCCGCTCAGTCTCCCAAGTAGTTGGGACTACAGGTGTGGGCCACAACACCTGGCTAATTTTTAAATAACTTTTTTTTTGTAGAAACAAGGTTTTGCTACAGACTTTAAGCAAGAATATCACAAAGACATTTGTAACTGTAAGACTTCACATTCTAGATTAAAGACCTCTCTTCACATCTCTCTATGCATCAAAAATAAAGACATGCCTCTAAGCTCCATGGAAACTAAAGTAGAGGCTAGTTATTAGAAATTAAAACTTCCTAAGAAAAACCTAGGACTTGTTAAACTTTAGCATGCATCACAATCACACAGGAAACTTGTTAAAATGCAGACAGCTGCATCCCATCTTCAGAGACTCAATAAATGTGAAATGGGGGGTCAAAGAATTAACAAGTTTCTAGGTGATGCAAATGCTGCTGAATGGAGGACCCCCGCTTGGACCCCTGCCTGGTGGGCTCCCCACGGTAAATGAATGAATTTACTAGAACACAGAAGAAATGCATTTCCTTCGACTGTTTAAACTTTTTTTTTAATTGGGTAAAGTAAAATGCTATATAGCAGCATACTTTATACTTGGTCTGAATTGAGGTCTAGCACGCCCAGAAATTTCCCTGAGCTTTATCATGATTCCTGGAGGCAGCCTGATCCGGGGCAGATCAAAGTAGTTTCCAACAGGAGGCACGAGGACGTCAGAGGGGTAGGTGAATTCTCTGTCTTCCTCTATGGTCAGTGGCAGTGGAGAGGGGCTCGGAGTAAGGGCAGGGGAGATCACGCCATTGGCCTCCACCTGCCACTGGCACCTGAGCAGACAGAAAAGAGGTTCTTCACTTCCTCTTTCATCAAGATTATTGGAAAGTTACCTGAAGGTTGCAGATATGCATACATCAAATATACAAAGGATCACATTCTGTGTTAAGTATTTATTCATCAAACCTTCTCCAGAAGCTAAAGAAAAATTAGTACTGTATAAGAGCACATCTTGGGAATCTACCTTCTTCCCAACATTTTATTATAAAAACTTTAAAATGTTCAGAAAAGCTGAAAGAATTACATGGGTAATATCCATATACCCACTTGTCTGGATTCTACAATAAATATTTTGCTATGTTTGCTTTATCACATATCCACCCATCCTCTTGGGGATCATTCAGTTTAATTAGGCAATAATTGAGCTGGAGAAAAGCTTATGCAGTTCAAAGATGTAATTTTAAATTTAGTAAAGTAAGGGCCAGAAAGTACTATGGTGTAATTTTCATCTTATTTCTTAGACACAATGACACTCATGAGATTGTCAGGCAGCAGGGACAATCAGCAGGGAAATGTACTAAACAGAGTTTTTCACATAAAGTCCTTCTTCCTTTGTTGGCAATGCTAGCTCAATTTGAAACTTTTTGTTACCTTTGTAAAAGTTTGGACCGCAATAGCTCCTGACAGGTTTCTTCTTCTTTGGTAATTTCTGGTCCATTGTACAGGATTCTTAACATGGAACAAGCTAACACAGACAGACCTAAAGCCAGGTCTACCAGAAAGGGCAAGCCTCCTGAGACATCCTCCGAAGACTCCTACAATGCAGACAGGGGTAAACCACACTGGTCAGAGGCTGCAAGCTGTGCTGCCCCATACTGTACCGTCCCCAACCACAGGGTTCTACAAAGCAGCATCAAGTATCGCTGCTATGGGACACAGGTACAGCACCCAACATCATGACAAGATGGTGGTACTAGAATGACTAAAGTCTCAACACAATTCTAGAGAGAAAATGGTTTATCAGACTCCATATTAGAAACAGCAAGATCACATGCAAAAAGCCCAGATTTTTTGATAGCTGCCTCTCTGCTGAGCCTATCCAAGTATAAATTACTATTCATTTTGTCACTTCCATCTTGTGCCCAAACTGTGATGCTGTCAACGACTGAACTGAATTCATTCCAGAAATATTTACTGAGTGCCTTCTGTGTACCAGCCATTGTTCTAGGTACCTGAGACACAACAGAGGACAAAGATCCCTGCTCTCAGGGAGCGTACATTCTAGCAGATACTACTATTCTAGAGAGTCTTAGTTTGGTTAAACTTAAGCAACCTCGAAGTCTAAAATGTGTTTTTAAAGTCAGGCAACTGAAGGGGTTAGTAGAATTCATTACTCTTGAAACCCAGAATCCAAGTGCTTACTTCTATTAAGTGTTCGAGTCTTCCTTGCCTTATGGAAAGATGCTGGGGTCAGATCACTTCCCCAGGCTTTGAAGACAAAGTCTCTAGCAATGGATTTATTTCCGTACTGCTGAATTGATTTTAGGTCATGGTTATTTTTATTTTGTAGAACTACTACTAACTATTAGAAGTTGACTTCTACCAAATGGAAGAAATGGATGAAACAGTGGCTCATATTGTGCCCTGTTTCCAAGGCAAATATGATGCATGTAACCAAGGCACATAGGAGAAAGAACATTTTGTCCACAGCAGTGGCTAGATTCAAGTACCTGAGCGCGAACTGTGCAAGCAAAGCCCCACATAGCTTTATCAGGAGTGTTGTGTTCACGGCCACTTCTCATTTCAAAGGAGAAGGTGACTGTATCTCCTTCCACCTTAAAATTTAAGGGGGGGAGGGGGAAATGCACTTTAAAAACAAGAAACACAATTTTCAAGAGAGCAATGAATTTTCAGAGATTTACTTTCAAAAGGACCAAAGCAGGATTTCACTCCTTTTTGATTCAAATTCCATTCCCTTTCGCTTAGACATCAGTCTTGTTGGTGTCTCTCCTGACCAGGATGCCTTTGAGATAAGGCATCTGTGAAATAGGCCACAGTTGCCCAATAGCAGCCTCAAAGTAAAGATTAATCAAATCTTGAGCATAATTTCTAACAAATTGCTTGCAATCTATGGCTAAATTAAAGAGAGTACATAATGTATGTGAAATAATGGCTCTAGGAACAGACTTTGGAGATATTTTTGGGTTTTAGTCATCATTTCAACTCATATTCATATTCTAGGCAGATACAGTGTAGGTAGTTTGAGGGCCCAGATTACAAAGCATGATGCTAATCTCATTAGTTTCAGAAAGGATCATTAGTTTTGCTCCAAAGGCCCAAATTCATTTGCACACATTAACTCAACACTTATTTTTTTTTTTTTTGAGTTGGAGTCTCACTCTGTCGCCCAGACTGGAGTGCAGTGGCCGCTCCCGCCACCGCAGCCTCGACCTGCTGGGCTCCGGCGATCCTTTCGCCTCAGCCTTCCAGTAGCTGGATTACAGGCATGCGCTACCACGCCTGGCTGATTTTTGATTATTG